GGGGGAAAGGGGGGTCGTACCGAAACCCTCCCTCAAAGGGGGGGGGGGTGGTCCGACACCACATTTCACCCATCAAATTGCTGTACCCTGATAGCAGGTCGAAAAGGAGCGTCCTGGTAATGGCTGCACATCCCCCTCCCCCTAACGACTCTCCTCTCTCTCACCGTACATACTAATTGCAAGGCAGTGCGGGGCGGAGCTGCATTTGTGCCAGACCCAGGCTGGAAGAGAGGCAGAGAAACATGCAAAGAGGGTGCCAGACAGAAGAGAGAGAGAGAGAGACATGCGTACGAGAAGAGGGTCGGGACGGGAATACGCTACCGTCGCCGGGGCATCCCTCCGGTATGCACCTTACCTAATAAGTAATCGTCTCTCATTCGCTTGATCCTTCGGCGCCCTCGTAGCCACGCCTCTCGTTGCTCTGAGATAAGGCTGGTTGAGGCACGGATCCATTTTCACTAGAAAAAAACCTTTGCAGATAGCTCATTGCGTGAAAAGCCTCGAGAAGCTAGAAAGATCCCGGAAACGAAGCTTTTGCCTAGTTTAACCACTATTGTTGATCCTACGACGATCGTCTATTATATGGTATGTGTATGCACAATATAGTAATTAATTATAACTAATCTGACACTTCTCTATTGGCTGTTTTTCAGCGTGACGATCTGGGCTACTTAAGAGAGGTGGACTTTGTGGCGTCATACAAAAAAGAAAGAACCCCCTAAGCCGTGTGACATGTGATAGCGACGTCCATATTGATTTTATCCAAACGTGTACAAACAAATTCCTTCTTAATCTATAACGATACATTTTAATGACCAACTTTTATACGATTAATTAAATGTTGTACTGGAACGATCAGAACCAATAAAAAATTATACATGTGTATCGCGCATACTCTAAACTCTTCAGTTGCACTCCACATCTGAGAAATAGGCTGGGCGTGGCCGCGTACTTCAGGGTGTGGCGTAGCTGCACTTCCGATGGGATAGACTCGTTTTGGAGCAAATGTAATCAAGTCTGTCAGGTCTTAAAGGTAGAATTCGATGAGTCATTAAAAATATCGTAGGCAGCGCGGTG